CCCTCTCTCACTCTCTCTTTAAAAAAAAAAAAAAAAAAAAAAAAAAAAAAAAAAAGAAATTTCAGATGTGCACCACCATACCCAGAAGAGTCTGCCTTTTCTGTAAGGTTGCCCAGGCCAGTCCCAGTGCATGGTGAGGGGAACCTCCGAATGCAATTTATTGGCCCCCAGTAGGGCATAGCTACTAAAGCATAGGCACATGAGAGCATCCAGTCTATGCTCCAGCCCTGTGAGCACCAAGAGCCATAAGGTACCCCAAATTGATGCAGGGTTCATAGGACTGAGCTAGTTAATTGCTCTGAGACACAAGTTCTTTGTCTAAAAAACAACCTGCCAAGCCAGACACGATGGCACATAAATAAAAGTGGCATTTAACAATCTGGGAGGCTGAGGCAGAAGAATTGCAAATTCGAGGCCAGCCTCAGCAATTTAGTAAAGCTATGCAACTTAGAGCCTATCTCAAAAAAAGGGCTGTGGATGTTAACTCAGTGGTAAAGGGCTCCTGGATTGTCCCCAGGACCAAAAGAAAAAAAAAAACAACTCTGATTGATATTAAATATTATGTGTTCCTATCCCCAGTAATTCAAGAAGCAGAAGATGCTGGGTTCTGGAGGAGAGAAGGTGAGGGGAGAGTTAACTCTGGCAGTGCTCCCAGGAGTGGGGATGGTATGGTGACTAGGGGTGCCAGTTGGTCTCAAGGGGTGGGCAGAAATTGCAGAAGAACATCCTTGGCATGGGACAGATTGCAAGAGCCTTCCAGAGGTTCTCACCATGGGAACCAAGAAACTCCACCTCCAGGTTGGAGTCCCAATTATTAGACACTGAATCTGGCCTGGGGAACCTACCAGAGTAGTCTACTACTCCTCCTGCCGTGATTGAAGGTATTCCTTCCAGCCACACACACTCTAAAAGAGGACTCACATCCCCACCACTACCAAAAGTAATTAAACCCAAACCAGAAAAGTATGAGTCCAATAAAGTTCTGATCCTTCCCTTGATACCTTCTTTAAAATATCAGATTCTCCCCCCAACCCTTATGTAGCAGTGGATGGCCCTGTTTTGCTAAGGGCATGCGGACATTGAATAGTGCTCGGCCACATTCATTCACCAAGCCTGGAATGTGCGGGTTTATCTCCGTTGATTTTTTTTTTTGGGGGGGGGGCAGGGTATTGGAGATTTAACCCAGAGGCGTTTTACCACTGAGGTACATCCCCAGCCTTTTTTTTTTTTTTTTATTTTGAGACGGGGTCTCACTAAGTTGCCCAGAGCCTCGCTAAATGGCTGAGGCTGGCCTGGAACTCGCAATTCTGCCTCAGCTTCCCGAGTGGCTAGGATTACAGGAGGGAGCCACCGCGCCCCCACTCCATCCATTTTCCCTAGCAATTCTTCCTCCTACTCTAGCACCCAGCCGACACAGGACTCCTCCTCTGGGAGCCACTTGTCTCCGCGACACCTCTCTTCCCATCCCAGGCACCAAGCGGGAAGCGGCTGGAGGGAAGGAGTGGGAGGCACCAAGTAGACATTCTGCCAGGGCCACTACATTCTGGAGGATTTGACTCTGCTCCATTCTT